AGCAGTTAAACGCCCAACTGGCTCTGCTCCAGCGCATGTATAAGGATGCGCGAGCAGAGATAAGTGTGCTAAAGGCGGAAAACAAGGAGCTGAAGCGGAAGGCCACCGTGATGTTCCGATTTGGAGGGCCACCATATGCTGTAGTGGAGGAGCAGGAGGGAGTGAACGTGCTCGGCGGTGTGGGAAACACAGAGGCAACACCGGCAAGGGCCGCCTAGGATGGAGGCAAGAAGAAAAGACCGGCGGAAGAGACGAAGAAGTGAGGTCGGTGGATGGCCGTCTGCAGAAAAGAAAACAAATCTGTTGTTTGTGGGTGTTGGATTTGTTTTGTTTTGTTTTGTTTTGTTTTTTTTTTGTGTGTATGTAAAATTGTGATCGGGATTGAGCCCGGCATGAAGAAATGACAAGTTTGTGGAATGAAAAACGAGTTGGTGAATGTTTTGTTTTTTTTTTTGGTGTGAAGAATAATAAGAATAATAAAAATAATAATAATAAAAATGGATTAATGGGGAAAGCATGTGCGCTGGTGGGTGGAATAAATGAAGGCAAATGATGAATATGAGTAAAGTGGGTTTGGTGGAGAGAAAAAGGAACCAGAGAGAGAGGTAGTGGGGTGATTAAAAAAGTGCATGTGGGAGACCACGGGAAGTGAGTGGTGTGGGTCTGTGTCATGCTGTCTGTATTGGGGTGTGAATGTATGATGTGTATCTGGGTGTGTTGTGTAGCTCCAAGGGTGTGTGTTTGTCAGTGTGTATGTGGGCTATGTCTATGGAGAGAGCCGAGAGGGAGAAGGAGCTCAGTCTGTGTGTGAGAGCTGGTGTGTGTTTGTGAATGATCAATGTCTATGCCGTGAGTCAGTGTGTTATAGAGAGAGAAGAGAAAGAGCCAGTGCATGTGTTGTCCATAGAGAGAGCCAAGAGAGAGCTCATGGCCGTGGGTGTATGCATCTGCTGGGTGTCCCTCTTGGGTGTGTGTATCTCCCTCTGTTTTGAGTCTGCCCCCCTGTGTGTATCCTAGAGAGAGAAGAGTGAGAGCTAGTGCATGTGTGTGGGTTGTGCATGGATCAATATGTGATGCTTCTGCTAATCCTGAATCAAAACAGCGAGAGAGAGAGTTTATGCCTGTGTGTATGGGTCTGTGAGGTGCCGCAAGAGAGAGAGGAAGAGAGTGTGATGCATGGGTCTGTGAGGTGCCGAAAGAGAGAGAGGAAGAGGGTTTGACTGGGTGGCCCCCTCAAAGAGAGAGAGAAACCCTTGTGCGTTATAGAGAGAGAGAGAGTGAGAGAATAGAATGTCCTCCAAAAAATGCATGGCCGAGAGACCCAACACACAGACACCCCGCAGAGAGAGAGTGACAGTGCCCGAGAGCAGATGCATGTGCGTATGTGTGTCAGCTCTTCATCACCGAACCAGTGCAGGCCAGAGAGAGAGAGACCAGGTGCCGAGAGAGATCATGCATCGCTGGTGTGTGTGAGCTGGGCTGTGGTCTGTGTGAATCGTGTGCAGGTGTATGCCTGGTGTATCAGCTGTGTGTGTGTGTGGTGTGTATGAAGCTCTGGGTCTATGGCAGTGGTATGAAGCACTGTGTGTATGGCCGTATCTGAGTGTGTGCTGATGGAGTTCAATGGGATCTCTGGGTGTTGGATTAGTGTAAGGTTCGGCCTGAGAAGAACATGAAGCAGCCAAGGTGAGTGAGGCTTATCGGTGATGATGGCCCGGTTGTGGAGTTGCAGTGGTGGTGGCTTGACAGTGGAGTAGTTGGTGGTGCTGCTGGTGGTGAAGTGTTGTTGAAGAATCTGCCATTGAAGAAGAAATTAGGAAAATTTGGGTTTGTCCGGCGGGCGGCCAAGGCGAGATTGCCGCCCGCCAGTGGAACAAAAATACTAGGTTCTTAACCTAGCTCTGATACCATGTAAGAATAAATGTATAAGGGAAAGAAAGAGAGAAACAATTATGTATATATTGATTTTTATTGATTGAGATATATTGATTGTGTATTGTATGTACATTATATAGGAGATGTGAAGTGAAGGTGGAGTGGTGTAGTTGAGGTGGTAGGTGGAGTAGGTGAAGTGGAGGTGGTAGGTGGAGTAGGTGGTAGTAGGTGGTTTACAATTTACATTTACAATTTACATTAACAAAACCTATTAATTACAAAGAGTTCTGGTTGAGCATTAAAACTTCCATAAGCAACAGATGCTTATGGTTCACGAAGCAAAGAAAATGAGGGATGGAGCGGTGGGCTGGGTTTCAAAGTGGGTGGCTGTCGTCGGGAATGGGTCGCCGGTCGCCGATGAGGGCGGGTTCGGTGGAGGAGAAGCGATGAGGGTGAGGCTGAGTAAGAGTGAGGTCAAATGTGTGAAGAGCCTCTGTCGTTGCAGCTCTGTATGTATAGTAGTGGACAGGAATTTTCTGAAATTTCAATTTCATATTATTTATTTATTTACTTTAACTGTTGGATCTGCAACGGCTGATCTCAGCGGTTGCAAGGAGGAAATGAAAGAGGATCCTCAATGAGAGGATCTGAACTCATTCTGAAGATCGCTCAGAGGCCGTAGGACTGCAACACCAACCCCGAAGAGTATTTAAGCCTCGTTTGAAAATAAGTTATTTTAGTAATTTTTTAGTTAAAATATGAGATAAAAAAAAATTAGTATGTTTGAGATAACTTTTTGACTTTTTACGAAAAGATGTGCAAAAAGTATAGAAAAAAATCTTTGATTTTTTGGTATAAGTGATTTTTTTTTTTATTTTTTTTTGATAACTTTTTAACTTTTTAGCTAAAATTACAACTTGCCAAACGAGGCCTTAGACTTTCAACTTAAATTTGCATGAGTGCGAGATTGCTGAATGGTACATGAGGGACACAATGGGGTAAAGGTTGATCAACCATCTTAATATTTGTCTGAGTTCAGTTACTTTATAGTTATTTTTTATAAAGTGATCTTAGAATAATTTGTTATGTGGTCGATTTTTTTTTTAAAAGTACTTATCGATACTATTATATTCTCAATTTTTATAAAATTAAATCACAACCAGTTAAAAAATCACTATAAAATTACTTTACAGAAAATCACTCTTGAGAATCCAGATTCTACATCCCCAGGGTTGATATTGAGGCACTTTTTGTATGTTAGTCTTATTAGCCTGGATGGATGCTAGAGGGCACAAACACACTTGAAGAAGTCTAATTAGTTGATGTATAATCTGGCACGTGAATCTCGAGTTCAAGAAGACGTGTACCCACACGACATATCTCAAATTCACTCAATCTTTGTTTACCAATGTTATGGGGAAATGTTATTCTACCCCCCACTTCTTTATAAATGCACTCTAAAGCATCTTCAATGTCTAGAATTACAAATGATATATTCCCAGCATACTAGAAGATAAATTTTAAAATGCATTTAGCGAAAATGTCTTCAATGTCTAGAATTACAAGCGACATATTCTCAACATACACTAGAAGATAAATTTTAAAATGCATATATTCTCAACTTATACTAAAAGATAAATTTTAAATTGCATTCATAGAAAATGTCTTAAATGTCTAGAATTAAAAATGACATATTCTCAACATAAAATTTTAAAATGTATTTAAAAAGAAGTGTTGTTTTGTATTGGAAGTGACATCATGTCATCTCGTTTTAGCGAAAATTGAATTGATAATAAGTATCCACTTGAATTTAAGTTATTTGACCTATTGATTGTGTAACATATTTTATATTGTGAAATTACTGATTTAATCATTCATTATAAAGAGGAGTTTGATATTTTTTATAGTGATTTATTTCTCCCATATTATAGGGATTGTTGTTAGGTTTTGTTAACTTTCTAACTAGTAAATCAGTGATCTATTTGATAATGTAATATTTCATATACTTGTAATTACTCTTCTATTTATTGACCAAAAAAAACACACACACACAAGAATAAGAGTTTTTTTTTTGTGGATATTCATGACACGGTGATTGAAGAAAATGTTTGACACCTCCAAAAAAACTCTCACACTTCTATCCACAATGATATGTGATGATAAATGTCATAATTTGTTACACACTCAATAATTGAGGGTCTAATTCTCTTGCCACATCATTATTGATAAATTGGTGAATTAAATGTGTAAGTCTCGGACATTACTAGTTGATTCACCAATGACACTAAAACATTACTCTATTTTAAAGGTTTTTTTTGGGGACAAATTAGGTGTTTTTGCAAATTAACAACAAAATATTATAAATTTAATTATTATAATACATATAAATTTTTCCATTGATTTAAGAAACAATAATACTCGAGACCACTAAAAGTGGTGCTCTAAAAGCACCACTAGTGATGTGGCAATGGACAGAGTCCACTGCCTGTGTCTTGGTTTTTTTTTATTTTTTATTTAAAGTACTTGACAACTCATTAATATTACTTTAAAGTATCACTTTTAGTGGAATGTATCGTTACCGAATAAAAAAAGATAGCACGACGGGTAATGTAATTTCCTCTCTTAGCTGGGTCTGCATGGAAAGATTCCAAAATTTAGGATGATGGTTGTGGGTCAGATGCTACTTTTGTAGCTTTCTTAGCCAATCAGATATACTAATGAGTCCAGATCCCCTCCTTGAGCCCTTCCTTCATTCCCTCCTTGTAGGGGCCTTCGGGTCCATTTTGAGGCCCAGTTTTGATAATCCGAACCGTTCATATTTTTAGATTTATTCAGTATAATATACCTGTAAAAAATCAAGTTGATCGGATGTCAGAAAGTATGCGTTCAGAAAATTGGGACTACAAACTATTTTTTAATAAACAGTTTTCCGAACACATACTTTATGATATTCGATCAACTTGATTTTTTACAGGTATGATATACTGAATAAATCTAAAAATATGAACGGTTCGGATTATCAAAACTGTGCCTCAAAGTAGACCCGAAGGCCCATGCAAGGAGGAAATAAAGGAGAGGGCTCAAGGGAGGATCCCAATTCATACTAATGGCAATTGAGATTGAATTTACTTATGTGGTTGGTTGTGAAGAAACCAAACCAAACCAAACCATTTGGTAGGGTAAGTAAAGTCTCTTTTGCTTGCTTATGGTTGTGTTGTGGCATTGAATGAATTTTCAAGAAAATGTCAGCACTAACCCCCATCATTCTATACAAACCCACCAGCACCACAAGAACAACCATCATCTCATACGCATTCCTTCTTCTCCCCAGTCTTAAATCTCTGAAAATCGTTTCAAACCCTGAATTTCCCTCCTCGAGATTGCTTTTCTCTGGTGAATTTGTTTCCCGGAAACCTGTTTTGGGGTGTAAAAGAGCCAGGAATCGGAGTCGTCCGAACACCATGACTGGGTCGATTTCAAGTTCTGGTTACAGGGGAAGTAGTAGTGATGAAGGTGTTAGAGTTCTTCAACAAGATTCTTCCATTCATGGATCCTCTGAGTTTCCCCCAAATTTCACTGTCGTCAGACTCGAATCCACCCTCAATCGTCTGGTTCGTATCTATTTGTTTTTATGAATTTTCCAACTCATGTATATGCATAAGGAGCTGAATTTTGACTTGTTGTGCAGTGTCCTAGTGTTGAAAAGCTTTTGATTTCTTTTTTCTTTTCTTTTCTTTTCTTTTTTTTTTTTGGTTTGAAACGATTTGCATGAAGAAAAATAGATGAGAAACTGTTATGTAGTGTGAAGCAACTATAAAATAATGGTAGATTTTATCTATTGCTCTTTTAGTTGAATAGAACAAAGGAATTTTTCCAATGAATGAGAAGAGTCATTTGGATAATTAAATTCAATTTGGGTTTTTTACAGCTCAAAATATTCAGTTTTCATTTTCAAGGTCTTCAAGGTTTAGATTCTTGCAAGTGTTACTTTAGTATTATTATTATTTTTTTGTTTTTTTGTTTTGATAAATAGATTCTTGCAAGTGTTACTTGTATGTATATATGGTGTGCACTCAAAATTTCAGTGACAATGGTTGATAATTTCTATCAATTTCGGTCATAACAATTACTAAAATTAGTTGGTAACAAAAATACAATAAAATTTTATAATTAATGTTGCTTCGGTTCATAACAAAACAGCATAAAGCTTCATAACTGAACATCGTAATGCTTCATAACCAAAACTAATTTGGGTCATAACTAAAAACACCACAATTGCGTAACCAATGCCATTTTGACTCATAACCAACCACTACAAAGACTCATAACCAAGTTCACCACGAAACTTTATAATTAAGACCAGAGGCCTTCATAACTTAGGCGTATCACGTGTGATGCTCACTTTTTAAGAGGTGTATTAGGGTCTTTGATATCTTACTCCAATATGCATAGTGCTGTCTCATTTTACATGCGACGCTGGAGATGAGACTGATACCCTGTAAGAATTCCAAAACAACAAAAACTATTACAACAAACAAAACAACAAAAGCTAAGACAAGAATATATGTTACAACTGTAACTATTCCACTCAACTCAGGATTTTCGGTTAATTAATTATATACCTACGAAGCACGGGTACGGGTATGAGTATTGGTACTGGTGCAATACGAGTATGTCGATACGGTAAAATTCAAAAAAAGTAGGATATGCGCACGGCTTTGGTACGTTTATAAAAAAATATTTCTTTTTAATTTGGAGTAATGCAAAAAGTGATTAAATCGATTAATTTGTTAAGATCCAACCTACAATTAATATTTAATGTCAAAAGTAAAGGTATATATCAAAATTAAATGTATTTATCAAAAAAAAAAAATCCAAAATTAAATGTTATTATATTGAATAACTTACATATCATAACTTAATTTTAAAATCATACTAAGCATAAAACTAAAATAAAAAAATATAAAAAAAAAATCTAGTGAAATGAATTTTATCCCTATAGTTCAAAAAAATATTATTTCGATTGAGATATGGTACGGTTTGAGTATATAATAGGTACGTTGAAAATTAAGAAAAAAAAATTTGGATACGTGTTTCATTTCATGTACCCGGTACGTATGCAGAAGTACCATTCGAAGTATCATACGCTGGTAAGTATCTAGTACGGGTACGGCATGTTTGTCAAAGTACCCATGCTTCATAGTTATATACCTAGTGAAAGAAGGATATACTTGTGCAATGCAGTTGATTATGCTGTCATGAATCATGATCTGATCAGTGTTCTTTCCAACCCACCAATTGCTCGTAGATGTCAAGAAAGATTGAAGGAGTGTCTAATATTTTCTGTAACCGGGGTTAATGTTGTAGTCCTTGAACTTTCTTTTTCTTTCAATTCAAAGTAGATTATTATATTCTTAGTTAATTCTTTTATATATTTACTTTCAATTTTTCAAATATGATGCTATCAATAGTTTTTATAGAAGATGTGGAATCACATTCTGTGTTGTATTTTACTTTTTTCTTTTTTTGTTAAAAATTCTGTATTTGGTCTCCATGATTGGCTTAGGTTTATATCTCTCAATGCTCTTTTGTTATCCCTTCTCAACATACCATCCAGTATTCCCGAGCCATATTTATATTTTTAGATACTTTGTGCTGATTAGTTAGTTTAGCATTTTGACCAAGTTCTCTGCAAAATAGGATTTGCCTCCTAAGAATACCTTTCCTTGTGATTTATAAGGCTTTTATTGCTGTTGATTGCAGAGCAAGTGGATTGTTACTGCACTTTTTGGTGCAATCCTTCTTTGGAGGCATGATGCCGAAGCATTATGGGCTGCTATGGGTTCAGTTGCAAATGTTGGGCTCTCAACTGTACTGAAACAGTTACTAAACCAAGAGCGACCTGTTTCTAACTTGAGATCTGACCCTGGAATGCCATCTTCGCATGCACAATCCATCTTCTTCACCTTTGTATTTGCTGTTTTTTCAAGTTATTGTCTTGCACGATCCTTTTACTTGTACAATGAAGTTAAACTTTGATTTAAATTTGGCATTTTAATAATTATTAATGACAACCTAGGTAGACGAAAGAAATAGATCTTTTGATACCATTAAATTCTAAAAAAAAATAGTGTCTCTAATTCTTGATTGCAAATTTCAAATTGCTGGTCTTATATTTTAGAAAATCATGATGCTTTAAAGGTTTAAAGGTTTAAAGGTTTTAAGCTTTAAAGGTTCAACAATGATGCTGAAGAAGTCATAGGTTGCATCTTATTTGCTGGAATCACCTATTGGGGGTGATTTTTTTCTCTCTAAAGCCGTGATTCCGCTGCTCAAAGTAAGAATCTTGTGAGGACCATGTTCCCATCCTAGTTTTTGGCTTTTTTGAGGAATCAAGGGACGGTTATTTTTTATTAGATCTTTCAATTTGGGTTCTGTGAGGACTAAGAAATGATATTTGCAATTAGTGGTGAATTATTATGATTTGATGAAGATTCTAGCCTTCCTCTTATGATTCACAATTCAATTTGCAATGTGATGAGAATGCTCACAAGTGCTTTTGTTTTTCTGCTTATTTGTTTGTTTGTTTAGAGAGAAGAGTGAGGAAGGGAGTGAATTCAGTTTTTGGTTTTAGTTATAGATAATTTTTTGTCAATTACAAAAAAGAATAGATGATTGTTTTCTTTTTGCTGCTGCAATTATTAGTGAATACCAATGTACTGGTTAACCTTTCTCCTTTTCGGTTTCTAATGCTTATTTTCAATGTTTGCTATCACAGTGGTTGAGAACCTTGGGATAAATGAACTTACAATAGCTCTTAGTGTCCTTACTTTGGCATTTGGTGCATATCTGGTAAGTATCTTAACATTCTAGTACTAATAATATGATATTCTTGAAAAAAAAATTAAATTGGATTTATCAATCAACGTAATCATTTAATCAGACCAGCAACGATAGAGCTATGAGGGTGACACTTCATACCAACAAATTGGGATCCACTTCAAGACACTATTGTGTGGAGAAAATTAGCTTGGAGTATGGAACTTGATTTCAGGCCCCTTTTTCTAGCAAGTTGAAATCTGATAATAAAAAAACAGAAGCAAAAAGCACTTTTCCCCCTGCACCAAATACTTTGCCATGGATTTCTAAAATAAAAAAGCTATAAGAAGCTCTATAAGTTGCACCAAACAGTCCCTTTGGCATGTTGTATTTGCTTAACTAAATAGTAAAGAAAATATTAATGGTGAGGTTGCTTACATCTGCGCTCTGTGTTTGCAGTCATGGCTACGAGTTTCACAACAACTCCATACGATCAGCCAAGTGGCGGTGGGTGGTGTCTTGGGATCAATTTTCTCCATTTTGTGGTTTTGGTTATGGAATGCAATTGTGCTGAAGGCGTTTACATCCTATTTGTGGGTTCAAATCATTGTTGTTTTGGGGGCCATTGGATCTTGCCTGGGATTTCTTATATACATAATTCGGTGTTGGGTTTTGAATATGAGCAAACATTTTTTTTAATATATTGAGAATAGTTTAAGCTGACATGCAGTTTTCTCTCTGTTATAGTGTCAACAGGAGCTTAATTCTTTTGGAGGATCAACAACATATGAAATACAAGTTTACACAGCAGTTCTTTGCCATTTTGTTTTCTTCTCTCAGTCAATCTGCCACAATATTTCATTGTGCACGAGTGTATACATGTCGTGTGTGTATAGGATAATGAACATTAACTCTTCCTCCACAAGTTATATGGTGGCAGCAGAACTGAAGTCCTTGATGCAAGTGGTTATGATCCTATGACTCTGTCATTGAATGGCCGCACGGGCTGCTCAATAAAGATCCCATGGTAGGGCTGGTGATTGTGATTCTACCGTTGTCCCAATTTAAGCCACTGGACAGTCGCCTTCTGAGAAGCAGTTTTCCGTTATATCATAGTCTAAGCAATAAAGTGTTTTGTGGTCTCAGCCAGTGCTTAACTCTTCAACAGAAAATTCATTTGATAGCTTGCACTCAGTCAGATGGAAGATGCTGGCTGGCTCCCGCTATCGGATTTTCTTGATGGACAAATGCATCACTGCAACTCAGTTAAGGTTATCCGTGTTCCATTTAGGGCTTCTTGAATTTCTCTGGTTACAGTCCCAGAGCCAAGGAAAATGGGAAAACACAATCTGATTGTAGAACACAACCCGAGAGATGTATCATTTTTATTTTATATTTTTTGAAAAGGAGAAAAAAGGTAGTACCGAACAGTTCATCAGTTAATAACTTACAAGAATTCTATCACAGAAATCCATTTATGGATGTATGCTTCCAATGTGTTCACCGCATAGTAGTCGGCTGTAAATTACATGGAGAGTAATGAAAGAAGCATTTCTGTTACAATAACAACCCAACAAAAATAAAAAAGCAAAACAAAACAATTGAGTCATCAATACCGCAGAAACATGCTGCTGAACGACTAAAACTTGACTTAAACTTGGAAACATGTTGCTTCACTGCTACCTTGCACCGTGGTTGCAAAACAAAACAATTGAGTCCTCAATACAGCAGAAACATGCTGCTGAACGACTAGCAACTTGACTTGACTTGGAAACATGTTGCTTCACTGCTACCTTGCACCGTGGTTGGTTGAATTCAATTATGGGACTCCCAACTAACAAACATTGGCTAGTTCAAAAAAAAAAAAAAACTAACATTCATTGGAACAGTGCAAAAGCAATCAGAGTAGTTTTCTCCTCAAAATTTAACTTAAATCGGAAGATCCATCACTTAGTCTATATAAAGAATGTTGGGTTAGAGGAGAGAAGACATCTCTCCTGTAGCTTGTATCCTTATTGTGTTCTTAATAAACTCTTGTGTTTCTTGTCGAGTGATCTGTCCGTTCCTTCATGGTTGTACCTCATCAGTGGTTGGTAGCAATCTCTCTTCTAAGACCTTTAGCCTCAGCATATGGCATGCCAACTGCATGGTTTCAGATATCCAGAACACTTTATTATCCATTATCCATCGAACCTGACAAAAGGATCAACAGAACACACTCACCTTCTCAAAAACTTCATTCTCTACTGAGGAAGTTGGAGCATAAGATTGAAGATCCTGTTCCAATGCATGAGAAATGCTTTAGTTGCCAACATAATTACACGAGAACTAAAGGATCACTCTCTAGAGTTGGCAAAGTGAATGCCCACATGGCTCGGTTTTGGAGAAGTCCACAACAATCTTTGGAGAAAACCATACTAGTGATTCATGTGTGTCCGAGTTTTCAGATTAGTTGAGTTTTCAGATAAATTGTTTTTATGATCATCCATGATGTCAAATAATTTTATTGACCCAAAAAATAAACTTCTTCCTGAGGAAACTCTCAAATGAGTAGTCACTGTTAGAGGAGAAACCTATTGTACAGCAAAGGAAAGCTCAACCTTCTACAAATCTTCAGCATCATATAGAAGAGAACCCGTTTCCTCAACAATTAATTCTTCCCTCGAAGCTAGCAAATCCAAAATTCCATATATATAATCACCCTCTGGATGTGATCGATCAGCCGAGACAAATGCAGAAACCTGGTCTTTGACCTTAATCCAAGACCACCCAGGCTCCTTTATTACACCTTTCGATTTCATCAACTTTCTCACGTCTGCTGCTTCCCGCCATCTCCCTTTTGCAGAATAGATGTTAGCGAGGGTAATGTGGGTCCCGGCACAATTCGGATCCAATTCCAAAACCTTCTCTGCAGTGCGTCTACCACGCTCAACATCACTGTGTACCCTACATGCTCTTAGCAGAGTTGACCAGACAACATCATCCCGGTTGTGTGGCATACTTCTGATCATACACTCAGCATCGTTTAATTGTCCAGCCCGACAGAGTAAATCAATCATGCAACCATAGTGTTCTTTTGAAGGTTTAATCCTGTACTTCTCACCCATTGAATTGAAATAGCGAAAACCGAGGCCAACAAGTCCAGCGTGGCTACAAGCAGCAAGAACACCAATGAAAGTCACAGAGTCTGGTCTTAGACCAACCCCAGGAATTTTCTCAAACAAATCAATAGCTTCTTTGCTGTGGCCATGTTCAGCGTACCCATTAATCATAGCCGTCCATGACACAATATCATCATTTTCCGTCCCACTAAAGATCCTTGAAGCTTCTTCTATACTCCCACATTTGGAATACATGTTGATCAAAGCACTTTGTATCATGGCTGTGTGCTCTAATCCAATGGACATGACATGAGCATGGAGTTGCTTTCCTTGTTCAAGAATGGCCATATTTCCACAAACACTTAACATGCTAGCAAGAGCAAACTCAGTGGGTTTGGGTCCCTCCCTTCTCATCCATGACAGAAAATTAAAAGCTTCCTCACCATAGCCTCCTTGAGCATACCCTGCAATTATAGTGCTCCAAGAAACAATGTCTCTTCTCATCATTTCATGAAATACCATTGAAGCTGAATTCAAATGTCCACATCTTGAATACATGGTCATGATAGAATTTGCCACTGACAAAGCGTCCAAAAGACCTACAACTAAAACATGGGCATGTAGCTGTTCACCCCATTCCATCCTTGCAAGATTAGCACAAGCAGAGATGACGGCTGCGAAAGTGTATTCATTAGGACACACTTCTGATTCTCGCATTCGCAAGAATGCTCGAACAGCATGATCTTCTTGACCCATCTGAAAGTATGTCGTTATAATTATGGTCCATGAAACCACATCTCTAGTACCCATCCTTTCAAACAAGCACAAGCCATATTCTAATTTCCCACACTTGTTGTACATAGTAGCAAGAGAATTAGCGACAAACAAGCTCACATCATAGCCTTTCTTCATTGCCTGAGTATGGATTTCCCTCCCATAATTCAAAGCACCTTTATCAGCACAAGCCTTCAACGCAATAGCAAATGTGTAGGAATCATAGTCCTCACCTACTCTCCACATTTCAGAAAAGTATCTCAAACCCTCATTATTATAACCAGCATGAACAAGCCCCGTTATAATGGCAGTCCACGAAACCACATTTCTAAGAGGCATTTCATCGAAAACCCTGCAACCATCCCAAATTCTTCCGTTTTTCGTATACATATCAAGAAGGGCACTACCCACAAAAACAGAGTTCACAAAACCAGTTTTTACACAATACCCATGTAACAATTCTCCATGTTTCGCATTCAAGCCGAGTCCACAAGCCTTGAGCGCAACACTAAGCACAAACGGGTCTAGTCCGAAATTTGGCTGAACCCACATTTTCGAAAACAAAGACAATGCTTGGGAGGAATCAGATGCACTGACATAGCCAGAAATCATCGTGGTCCATGAGACTACATCTCTGTGAGGCAATTTATCAAACATTTGGCGAGCATCTTTTAAAAAACCGGTTTTGACCAGTTCTTTCAACTTTGAGTTAACTTCAAGCATATTAACTTGAGTGACATTGTTGATCTTTTGAGGTAAGTGATCTTTGCTTTGATCTAAAGATAGGAGGACCCTGGGTTCATCATGAGCAATGGTTGATGCTGTATATAATAATCGCCTTATATGAGGCCTGATTGATAAAACCATGGTCATGCTAATCTGGAAGCCATACACAGTTCCATACCTGAACTGAATCGACCAGGACAACATTCGAATTTTGTTGGAAAAGATTGATATACAAGACTAATATCTAATCTAACCCATAAATGTTGCTTTTGAGTTTCAATATTGTTCCAATAGTAGATGAAGTAATTTTACACAACAAGTTAACAACTTTTTTAAAATTTTAACTAAAATTAAATATTTCTCTTTGAGTAGGAAGGATTGAGCCACCTATAAAATAAAATAAAAGAGAAATTACAAATAAGTAGAAAGATTCAAAAAAAAATTATAAATAAATGGTAAAACTTATTAACTTTAATAACTAAATTGTTTTATAATTTTTTGAAATCTTTTAACTGACTTGTAATTTTTCTTTAAAAAAAATCAACTTTAAAAGACTTCACCACATGTGATAACCAATTTTAAGGGGTTACTACAGTAACTCTTCAAATGTCTCATAACTCAAATTTTGTGGCTCAAAAGTGGTTCAAATGGCCAAAATGACGTCGTTTTAACAATTTTTATGTTGTTCTGTACTCAAAACGACGTCGTTTTGGCCATTTAAGCCACAAAATTTGAGCTACGTAGCATTGTCGTATTTATAATTCATATTTTGCTGCAAATTTCAGCATGGTGGTTCTACATTTTAAATTAACAAATAAATAAGTTATGTTTAAATAACTTGAAAATTGACTTTTCTAAAATTGAAAACTCTTTTTTTTTTTTTTTCTCTCCTTTTTTTCTTTTTTTAAATAGTGAGAATTGTTAGGGTTAACTCTTCATTCATATGCATAAGGAAATTAAGGAAGGAAGCCTTTATTTTCATACACTTTTTGCTCAGTTCATACACTTGGTGAAATTTTTTTAATTATAATTTATCCTAAAATAAAACTATGAAAATATCTTTATCCTCTCTAATCCAAAAAAGATTTGGGGTGGCTGCTGTGCGGGATGTACAGTAATTATTGTTGTGCAGTCAAATGAACCCATTTCGATAATCCAAGCCATTCACATTTTAGAATATATCAAGTAGAACATACTTGCTAAAAATTAAATTACTTGATATATTCTAAAATGTGAACGATTCGGATTATCAAAATGGATTCCAAAATAAACCCATTTGACTGCACAACAATGGTTGTTGTATACCTCCGCATAGCAATCACCCCAAATCCATCCAAAATCCTAATACCTAGACTATTATAGGTGATTGTCAAAAAGTCGCTATAAAAAAGTCAATTACACTCTTTATTTTGCTGCAGGTTTTTTAAAAAGATAACTGAAATAATTAGTTTCCAAAATAATCCTTAATTGTGTTCCAAATAAAATATCAATTTTTAAAATCATTTTGTGTTTCTCGAAAAAAAAATGTGTGCTGAATATTTTTGGTGCGGGAATAGAAGCACCCAATTAAGAGTGAGTTGCATGCCATTTTGGCCACCCATAAGTGTTGCGTTAGCATTGGGCTCAATGCTTCCAATTGAAGATATGACACTCGAACATTTATTTAATATTACAAGTACCATTACTCAAATCAATTTGGAATCATACATCTGTGTGATTTTTGCATAAAGAATGACAAGACCCACACATGAGGATCCTCCTCCATCAAACTTCAAAATTGCTGAGACCTCACCGACTAGTGCATGCTTGGCAAAATCATGAGCACATTTGGATAAAGATGGGACCCTGTTGAGTTTGACACATTGATTGATCTAGAAATATACCTTTATTGATAACACTCTTATACACAAAATACTTATATACAATCACACACTAATACACTTCACTTGTCTACTTACACATACATTCAAGTACTCACACTTTGTGTTTTTCTCACTCATGACTTTGAGACACCTCACATTAGATAGTGCTTGACCACTTACTTTGGACTCACTCTTCTTTCACTCAATTGTCCAATTCGTACACTCATCTCATATTTATACTAGCTAAAGAACTTTCTAGAATACACTCATACTTTTCCTACATTCTAAAACAATGTAGATTATTCTAGTACATATTGGAGCTTTTTATTCTTCTCTAAAATATTCTAAAACCTTCCAGAACTTTCGAAATTTCTCTAGTTTTCTCCAAACTTTTTTAATGTTCTAGAGCCTTCTAGGATATTCTAGAATCTTTCAAGTTTCTCTAGGTCTTTCCAGAATCTTCTAGATCTTTTCGGAGTATTCTAAATTCAAGTGAAAACTTCTAAAATATTCTAGAGAGAAGATTCTAGAGAGTGAGGCGAGTTAGTGATGGCTCTCAACACTCCCCCTCAGTACTAACTCTCATTTCTAGATTATGTAACCATGCCACATTATTTCAGAAACTCTTCGTGAGTATATCTACACCGTGGTCCTTTGCCACGATAAACTTTGTCTCCATCTCTTCCAATATTGATTTCTCTCTTTTGAAATGATTTATTCTTCCATGGAACACCATGTCCTTGGCCAGTTGTAGGATTCTCATCCTCCAATTTAGATAACGAGTGTCACATTTGAATATGTGTTGATGCATCAATACCTTCTTTTGTTGTCTTCCTCCAATTGAATCCTTTTGTAGTTTCCTGAGATGTTATTAGTTCCTTTATACTATCTTTCTTACCAAAGTTTGCATCAACGTACCTTGAATTGGGTTGACATTGCCTTGCAGATATTGATTGTTGCAGCTTTGTCATTTCTTTAACTTCTTCTTCTTCTGTTTGCTCCCCCAACTTCTTTGTTAGTGAGTTTCTGGATCTTTAAATGTTGAAGACTGAAACTCAATTGCAAGAATCGACTCATTTGTGATAAAGTGTGCATCCACTTCCTTGGTAATTGCATTGCACTACTCATGTACGCCTTCATTGAAGTTTATCTCTTTTTTTGAATCTGCTTTAGTAACCACGAACATTGTAAAAGATGTTTCAAAATCCCATTCATCTTCGAATTTTGGCTCTTCTTCTAAGTAACCTGGTTCAACGGTCTCAAACATTGGACATGAAGCTTGAAAATCCCATTCTTCTTCACTCTCATCTTGGTAACTATTAGATGTTACCATATTACTTTCAACTGGTCTTCTTCTTGACCGACAATTTTTTGCATAGTGACCAATCTTGCCACATTTGAAGCACTTTATGTTGCGCCGTCCAAATCCAGTAGCTCTTCGATCATTTTCATCATGTCGAACTCCCCCTCGTTGATAACCTCGATCATCTTGTGATTGTTCATCTTCTTCTTTCTTCGATTTTCCATATTTTTGCCACTTCAGTTCATTTCTTCTCTTTCTACTGAATAACGCATCTTCTTCACTTTCATTCTTCAGTGTAACTCTAGCCATTTGCTTTGTTAGAGTTTCTTGATTTGCCAATAGACTATCGAGCGCGACCAGTGATGGTTGAGTGGACCATCCTCCAACAGCAGCCATAAGCCCACTATACTCGGGTCTTAAACCTTGAGTAATAATGCGTCTCATTCTTGACTCGGAATCAAGTTGTGAAATTTCATTGCAAAGAGTCTTTACCTTGAGAAAATATTGGTTAATAGTCATTGATTCTTGTGTCACCGTTAGATACTTAACACCGCAAATGTGTCCTAGACTGCTTTTGAAGTAGTAGCCTCCCGAACATACTCCAATAACTTATTCTAAACAGTTGTCCTTAACACGAATATCGCTTTTCCAGCCTTAATCCACCACTTTCGCAAGGCCTCTGCATTTTCTTGTCCAGGTGATGCAGTTTCCTTGTCGTCAACAATCTCCCATAGATCCTGTCCTTGAAGATATGCCTCAATGCATATTCGCCAATAATCATAATTATAGAATTTAATTTCTCCATACCACCAATGAAGTTTCCAAAATCCACCACCACAACAACTGTGCTCGTTGACTTCAACAATCTCTTGTATCAATCTTAATTGCTCTTCGTGTCGGTCCCCAAACGACCAAGCTCTGATACCAAATTGTTGAGTTTGACACACTGGTGAACCCAGAAATACACCTTTATTGATAACACTCTTGTACACAAAACACTTGTACACAATCACACACTAATACACTTCACTTGTCCACTCACACATATATTCAAGCACTCACACTTTATGTCTTCCTCACTCAGGACCTTGAGACACCTCACACTAGATAGTGCTTAACCACTTACTTTGGACTCACTCTTCTTTCATTCAATTGTCCAATTCGTACACTCATCTCATATTTGTACTAGTTAAAGAACTTTCTAGAATACACTCATATTTTTCCTACACTCTAGAACAATCTAGATTACTCTATTACATATTAGAGCTTTTTATTCTTCTCTAAAATATTCTAGAACCTTCCGGAACTTTCTAAATTTCTCTAGTTTTCTCCAAACTTCTTTAATGTTCTAGAACCTTTTAGGATATTTTAGAATCTTCCGAGTTTCTCTAGGTCTTTTTAAAAGCTTCTAAATATTTCCGGAGTATTCTAGATTCATGTGGAAACTTCTAAAATATTCTAAAGAGAAGATTCTAGAGAGTGAGGAGAGTTAGTGATGACTCTCAACAGGCCCTATATCAATTTGCTTTGATGTCAACTAGTATCTAACAAATTAGTAATAATATTATCAATGATTTGCAGAAATTGCAGATGGAATGGAACAGTCTCTGACTGATTTCCTAGTTAAAACAAGAACCAAGCAATGTGGATTGAAATCTCTCAGCGCATGCAAAATTCACTACTTTAAGAACAAATTCTTTGGGGGTAATTGCATTCTTAATTAGTTCGCGCGGCTGTCAATTCCTTCATGTCTCCATGTCTCAAAACAGTCACAACCATTAAATCGTGTAAGAATCCAAAGGCACGGAAATTTCAAGACATAATTCAATAGTTGTGAATGTTTTGAAAGACAGAGAGATTAGGGTTAGAGGATCTCATGCCAACCATGCTTATGAGAATTTGCATTCTGCCCAATGTAAGATTAATAATCTATCAACTGTAAATCAAATTCATAAGCTGTTCTATTATAGCCATTTCTTCATCTTACAAACTATGAATTTAGGTATTACAATTCAAGTAAAATGCAAAAACTAGGCAACAATTACATTTGTAATAAGCAAGAATGTTGCAAAGGAACAAGCATGCTTCCTTCCCAACTAAAATATATATTATACTCTATCGGGCGTGATATATAGATTCGAGCCTCACTGCTATGCATTGTGATTTCCAAGTTCGAGTCTCACTATTGCACAATGCAGCTTTCAATAATCTACCCAAATTACCCTCTTGGGCAAACAACATTCATCTCTAAGAGAGCAAACACTTCCCAAAAAAACCTCTCACAACACATATTAATTCACTTAGAAAAGACTTTGTTAACACTTCAATTTTCATATATTAGTTCATCTTTTTAGTTTCCAATAGGCTTGCCCTTGTTTCTAGCCAACCAATGACCCCTTCTCGCCATCTTCCACCTCTCAACATTCCTCATCCTGGCAAATATTTTCCGAATCTGATAAAGCTTGTGGGACTGTTGAGCAATCACATTTGCAGTTGAGGGGCTCTGGCTCAGGACTACATCGTACCCATCTCTGAATGAGTCCATGCCTTCAGTCAGGAGTTGCCAAAACAGGCCTCCGGCAGCTGCACCGCCACGCTTGGCCGACGCATATATTTTGTAGTAGACAGTGTTGAAGAGAAGATCCCTCTGGTAGGTGCTGAAATTGGGATCTTTCCATGACTTTCCAAACTCTGTGATGAGCAATGGTTTCCGGAGAAGGTACTGTGCATCTTGAATGTGGGTGCTGAGCCAATTTTCCAGGAAAGAAAGCTGGCTTTGATCATTTGAATTGGATAACCTGATCATGTAACAAAGTGTCATTTACAATGTTCGGGAAAATTCAAATCTATTTCACTAAAATTGATAGTGTTATGGTAAAACATATTGAGAGAAGATAAAACAAAACAAACACACAAGCACGTAAAAATATTTACATGGTTCAGCTATAAGTCCAAATTGGAAAAAAAAGGGAGAGAAGTTTTGCTGTAAGTGGCATATACATAATGGTTCGACAATGCACGTGTTACAAAAGCTCTAAAAAAGGAAAACCTAGAGTACAAGGCTCAATCCAAAACAGCATTTGGGGAGGCCAAGATGCACAGAGCCTTATCCCATAAAGTCCTAAAATCTCGAAATAACCCAATATATATATATATATCAGGATCCAATAGGTAACAAACCGGGTCAAAATAGCCCCAAATACAAATACTGGGTTAGATTTGATGGTTAATCTGACATTGCAGGTCACCAACGAGTAACAAGCATAATTCAAGTTAAATTCAACACATACCCACATCAAATAGCTTGGCCAAACTTGCTATGAATGTCTTAAATTCAACTGATGATTAGGTGAACATCAATGCAGTTCCTAATAGGCTGTGCAAATAACTACTTTGGTTGGTTAAGTTCTAGTGTTAATGTTGAATTCTTCTCTTACTGTAATGAAACTTGAAATTTCTTTTTTCTATGATAAAAAATTGATATAGTTTACCATATATCAGGATAGGAGTGAACTGTAGCGAAATCGATCCCAGGGATGCGATTATTGGCAATGAAGTCAGTTCCAATATTATAACCAGGATTGAGTCTCTTCCTCTGAGGTGTTGTTTGTCCATAAAATCCTTCAAGCCCAGCTTCCAGCAAGTGATTTCTGTCTATTGACTTCACATATGAAGCCATTTCCATTACCCACCCCTATCAGACAAGCAAACAAAAAATGAGTTGGGCTACATTTACCAAATCCTTTTCACAGAAAAAAATTGTAGAACAAAAATAATGAATGTATCCCACATACGGGTCCTACTCTTTATCTCTGTTTTGTGGCCCTTCTTGTACAAGGATACTGTGCAAATAAATTCTATTTTATGGGGTAGCATAGGTCAATAATTTGTCCCAACTGCAATAACTACTGAGGTGGGTTTTCCTTTACGGGGTGGGGTTGGACCACTGCTACTAAATAAGGTAGATTTGAAATATTAACTCAACACGTTAACATGGAGTCGACTACCGACTTTAGCCAGTTAGGTGTGAGACAAGGTCAGTCCAATTGAAAAGGCTCCTTAAAACCCAGGTAATAAGGAGAGAGAAACTGAACAAATGGCCAACACACCCTCTTGGACTAGGACATATAAAAGTTAGACAAACGGCACACTAATCACAGGTCCATGCAATAGCTAGACAAACGGTACATTAATCACAAGCCCAACCAAGTTTTGATACCAAATTAAAAAGTCCGGCCCACACTTTTCCTTAAAATTCAAGTATTAAGGAAAGAAAAACTAGCATAGATAGTGCAACTCTAGGCGCTGTGAGATACAATTCAACAAATCCCATCCATTTAATTTTACGCAACCTCATTAGTTGAGAGCACCACAGTAGTGCTCGTGCCACAATGGTACTTTGAGACTACTAAATAAATTTTTGACCATTGTAACAAATCAAATCCTGGATTTTTAATGCAAAGGGTCATCAACTCGCTTAAATGTGATTTCATAGAATGGATTCTATGAATCTATTGTTCAAAGAGGACAAAACAAAGAAAATTCTGATGGAATGTAGAAAAGTCCAAACTTAGATGTGAAGTAGTAAAGCAAAATCAAAAACCAGTGGTGAAGAAATTAAAGGATCATTAAAAACCTGAATGGTCCTTCCTGATGGATCTGATGTGCACCTGGGCTCATTCATAAGCTCCCAAGCCATGATTGTTGGATCATTCTTGTAAACAATTCCAGTCATGGTGTTATATCTATTAAGAACAGTCTGCAAAAAATGAAAAAAAAAAAAATTAATGAAAAATTCATATTAAAAAAAAAAATGATTTGTGTTTTTATTACTTTACCTTAACATGGTTCTTGTAATATCCTTTAACAACAGGGTTTCTAAAGAAATCATCATCAGATGTTAAGTACTGTCCTTGACTTCTAGCCCAGTTCACATACTGTTTCTTGCCCCCAAAGCTGTCGTAGTTGTTTACCAAACTCAATACCAGCTTAATTCCATACCTTCTTGCTTCAGCTATAACAAAATCCAACCCCTTCAACCAACAAAATAAATAAAAAATTAGGAGGGAAAAAAAAAAGAAAAAGAAATAAAAAAAAATGAGGATAATTACAAGAAATACCAAAACCACTCAGGTTAAACCATTACCAGAACCCGTGTACTAGAGCTCAGTTTAGGTCATTGATTTGAATAAAAATTGGAAAAAGAAAAAGAAAAAGCAAAGAAAATGAAAGAAAAATAATAGGACAAATTACATATACCCCTCGAAGTTTGGCTAAATTATAGATACTCCTGAGGTTTGAGAAATTACAAATTTCTCCCTAAATGCTATATTTGCATAAGAAATTAGGGGGTAATTTGTTATAAAATATAAACTTTAGGGGACAAATTATTATGAAAATGCAAACCTCAGGAAACGGGATGTAATTTTCGAAATCTCAGGAGTATCTATAATTTAGCTAACCCTCGAGGGAGGGAGATATATGTAATTTGCCCAAAATAATAATAAAGAAGCCAAGTACCCAAATTTCTCTCAATTCTTCATTTTTCTACCCAAATTTATCATCCAAACACAACTTAAGAGGTCACGGACTCGGGTATGATTTCCAATCCCCTCTAATGTACCCAAAAGAAAAGAGCATGTTATAAAACATAAAATATATAAAACTTGTACAAAATGATACTTCAAAACAAAAGCTCCATCAAGATAATTTTTAGTTTTAAAATGCCATTGTTTCTATATGAATTTTTTGGAAGAATAACCGTTTTTTTCAAAGACAAAAAGAAGACAAGTATGAGAACAAGAGGGAGACCTTAAAGACTTGTTCATTGTAAGAGCCAGGGGAGTATTGGAGAGGTCTATAACCGGCATCACTGAAAGCCCAAGTCCTTGCAACAGAGAGGCCATGGCTTGAAGCTTCTCTAAAAGCAGCTGAGACTTTGTTTCTTTGAGATGGGTCAGAAGCCACATACATCAACCAATAGGCATTGAATCCATTGACATAGTAAGGATTCCCATTCAGCATGAAATGCACTCCCCTTGTTCTGATAAAATTATCCCCTGCCTCAACTTGAACATGGTGCCACTGTTTTTGGATCAAAATGGCTATGAAAAATGCCAATGCCCAGTGCTTCATCTCTCTCTCTCTCTCTCTCTCAAAGTGCAGGAAGGAATCTAGAGGTAAATGGAGAGGAGGAGAAGAAGATGTTTAAAAGCTGAGCAAAGAAAGAAGGTGGGGCTTTTCCAACACTTGTCCTTCAGCAAAATGAAGTGTGTCTTGTTAAGCATTGGATGCCTCCCAAATTCATTACTCCCTCTCTCTGAAAAATTTATAAAAAGAAAAGGAATGGGAAAAGTGAAAACAAATCTTCCATTAATCTCTCTTCAAGTTCTTATTTCAGATAACAGTTATTAGATTAGACTATAGTAATATTATAGATAAATTAATTTATTACAAAATTCTCTTATTATTAAACACAAAGGTCTCACATTAATAAATATTTTTATATGTAAAAATTAAGTCTATTTAATCAGTTTAATTTATCGTATTTATTATAAAAAAAATAAATGATTTATTTTAAAATATATATTTATCATCTATTTTTAATTAAAAATAAATATAATAAATTAAATATGTTATAATTATTAGTTCGATTTAATTTTTTTTTATAGATGATATATATAAAAATTAATACAAAATAAATTATTAAAATTATCAAAATAAGAATGGTAATAGACCACGAGAACTCAAACAATAATCTCTAGTAAATTGAAAAGAAGTCAAACTCATATTTTTTTCATAGATTTTGTCTCGATAATTTCCACAATCTAACGGTTTGGAAAAGATTATGCGATCATTTTATGACAAATTCAATTTGATTTTTTTTTAATTAAAATTGTGAAATTTAAATTTTTAAAAATTTTTACCAAATAACTGAATACTTATCAAAAATAATAAATGATGTTAAACAATAATCTAAGGTCTTGTTTGATTCACAAAACTAATAATGAAAGTATTAATAATCTCATCAAATTAGTGCGATATTCACTATCTAATTACATTAGTAAGATTAATTATCCACTTATCCATTGTTTGATTTGCATATGAATGTAAGATTATAATTATATTTATCTTATTTTTCAATCTTACCCTCCATCAATGTTTCTTCACAATATTTACTTTATTACAATTTCTTCATAAACGTAGTTTTGAAAAAAATTATAAATAAATAAATAAAATACAAAATACAAAATACAAAGGTCATGTTTGGTTTGTTTTTTAATTTTTTTTTATAAAAAATATAAACTTATTTAATAAAATAAATATCAAAAAATATTTTTAAATTTTAAAAAATTATTTTTATCCTTCTCAAATATAAAATTATATAAAAATAATAAGTGTTTTAATTTTTAGTCAAGGATAAAAGAGTTTTTTTATTAATTTTTTTATTTTATTTTTTAGCTCAGGATATATAATCTCATTTTATTTCATTATTAATAATTTTACAAATTTATTAAATTAATTATCTATTAAATTAATAATTTTAAAATAAAATTTTTAAATAAATATAAAATTATTAAATTCACAAATTAATAATTCTAATCTCATATTAAAATTTTATCAATCAAACGTGATATACGAGCACCAAAACAAGCACTCCCGATTTGGAGTGATTTTGGAACGAGGACAAAGGAGACCATGCCATGTCTCTCATTATTACAACTGCCAAAAAGGGCAAAGAACAGTAACCGGTCACAAGAGAGAGAAAGATAAAAAGCTGACAACATGGCTTTTGTTTTGTTAAAATCTTGAAAGTCTAGCTCTTCTTCGTATCCTTCCCCTTTCTTTTTGTTGATTTATCTAATAGGAAGTGTTTGGGTGTGTAATCTTGGGCGCACACAATTCACAACATCACGTAATCACACGTAAATTTTTATAAATTTGTATAAATAATTTTATAAAAATGTATAAGTTAAACATAAATTTATACAAACATATTTATAAAAATTTAAAAATTCATAAATAATCTCACAAAAATATATAACTCAAATTATAAAATTACATAATAAAAGTGCATGCATATAATATGCATGCACATCTAAGATTTTTCCTTATCTTTATCTAATATTTCTTCTTAATTCAAACTCTTTTTTCTTCTAAAAATAAAAAATGAAAAAATTGCACAGCTCTAGTTGTGGTTGTGGTTCTTGCATAGGAAAAAAAAAATTAACTACTTAGATTAAGGAGAGAGTTCAAGAAAAACATTGATCGATCTTATTTAATTCTAGAAGTGAACAAAAAATAAAATCAGACAGTAACAGAGATACTAACATTCTTAGTGCTTAACATTGTTATAATTACTTTAAATACAATAGATTATTGGGTTAGATACAACGACGAAGTAAAAAATTTATTTTAAAAGGAGCCGAAATAAGTGTAGCAAATATATAGTGGTGGAGTCAGAAAATTAAATTAGAAAGGACACTTATTAATTACAATATCAAAAATTTTTACAAAAATATTCCACGCAAGTTTTTATGATTGATTTCAAGAAACATTAAAAAAATAATGTTATTTATAACTAGTGTATCATGGACAAAATAAAAAAAAAATAGATATAAGTCTTAAAATAAATTATATAATGATAAATTATTTTTTTATACAAAATTTGATTAAAAACTTAATATAATAGTAATATCACGTCATTATTAGTATATGACATCACCACTAATAATAAATGGGATTTTTATTGATAAGTCCAATTTAGAAGTGTTTTAACCCAAGAAGTCCATGAAGGAAATTTTTAACCCATTTAGTCCCATGTATGTATAGTTTTATTCCATAAAGTCCATTTTCTTGATTTACACTATTGGACCTAATGGAATAGTCAAAAAGAATATGGGTTGGATGGAATAAAGCTCTTAGAAAATGGATTTATCAAAAAAGCTCCCATAATAAATAAACACATAGAGAGTGAACCTCACATGTCAGATGTAACTAACAATCCAATAAATTTCATATCTTTATAGTGAGATTACGTATACATACATGTTAATAATAATGATATCACCATTACATTGAGAAATTTTTATTTTCATAGATAATATGGTTTATAATAGCCTTTTTCATTTTCAATCAAAACAACCATTATTATTCTCATAATTTTTAAAATGTCATTAACACATTTCACTCTAATAATATTTTTATAATGTTTTATTTAAAATATTTTTTTTATATTTGTAAAAAAAAAAAAAATCTCAAAATCCAGGGGCACATGACCCCCGGCCTTCACTGCGTCCACCACTGATTCTACCACTACAAATATATATATATATATATATATATTTAATGGAAGAATTTACGTATTATATTAAATAATTTAAAGTCATCTTATATACATTATAAGAATATTTATGCAATATAAAGAACTAATAAAAGAATTTTTCAAAAAATTAGGAACTCTTCTATATGCAATATGAAAATTGTTCATAAAATATGAAATTACTTCACAATTTTGAAAATTTTAAAGGCGGCCATGGCCACCCTTGGCCATGCCCTATTTTCGTTCCTGGTTCCACATTATTGCTACCTAACCACACTGTAGATTTTGTACACCCTTGTTTGGTTGAAACTCAATAACTGTATGAGTTTTTTTGTTTTTATTATTATTATTTTTTAATATTGAGGGAATATTTTTGATTTTTTAAACAGTGACGGAGTTTTTTGAGAAGCTGATAAGAAGTCAACTTTCAATTTTTTACTCATTTTAAATCGCATCACCTCTCATATAATTTATCCACAAAAGACAAAATAAACTAAAAAATTAAAAAATCAATTTTTTACTAAATTCCCAAAACACCCTAATAAAATCATGAGAGGCCATGGCCCACCACTCATGAGAAACAATTGGGTGTATAATCCCTGTTAGTTGATAATATGCTTACCATTTGATAGATATATTGGCTCCCAAGCTGCTACACAGTTGAAATCAAGGCCCATTTTATATCTTTTGTTTATAATTGGGTAGTTTTTTGATTTAATGAAATGAAGTTATAATGGAATGGTTATTAGAATGTTGATTTGTACATTTGATTTATTAAAAATAATAAAAAATATATATATTATAAATAGAATCATCATTCACCATTATAACTTTATAAGTGAATTGCTATTTCGAAAATGATTCGTAGCTCGAATGCGTAGAGCTCGAATGGCCCGAATGGTACGGAAAATGTTATCTTACCGGTAAGAGAATAAAAAAAAACTTAAAACGACGTTGTTTTGAGATTTCGAGCCATTCGAGCCTTTAATATTTCGAACTACTTAGCGGAGTTGTTGTTATTTCAAATAGAGGTTAACGAACGAATAATCCCATTTCATTTCACTCTAGTCTAATGAATCAAATATAACATAAGGACTAATTTAATTATATAAGGATTTTACTCTTGCCTCAAGTAAATTTTTTATTTTCTTCAAACTGTAGTCTCCGATGTACACCAAACAATAATAATAATAATAATAATAATAATAATAAGATTCATTTTATTGAGTTAACCAAATAATATAAAGAAAAAAAAAATGTATGAATGCAAAATTTATACAGAATTTTATACTTGCTTGATGTGACAATAATTTTTTAAAAAAAATTAATCATGCCATATCTTGAGAGTTGTACATTAGATCATGGTTTCGTTCTTACTTTTAAATATACAATTTAAATTTACCTAAAAAATACTAAAGTGATTTATTCTTTTGACTTTCAACTCCGTAAGAGCATCTCCAATGCACTAGGCATATAATACTTGTTAGTTAAAATGCCTAGTGTGATTTACTTTTTTCAATTCCAATGCACTAGGCATATGATTAGGCATTTTGGCTCAACTCATATTCACTAGCCACATGTAGCTAGCCTTCAACGTTAGGCAAAATGTATTTAATCATTAGGATCATTTTCCTCCATCTTTGTTGTTGACGTGGCATTCTATAAAATTAATAGTATTTGGATAAATAGGTAAAATAAAGAGCATGGTTGGAGTAATGTACACCAAACAATAATAATAATAATAATAATAATAATAATAATAATAAAATTCATTTTATTGAGTTAACCAAATAATATAAAGAAAAAAAAATGT